GCTGGATATCGGCGATGGACAGCTTCATGTCGGCCGTCTTGAACGCCGCCACCTTGTTGAAACCAGGCAGTCAGTCAATCCCTGGTGCACCACGTGTACCAGATTTTTTTCAGGAGTCATCAAGTCTTACCGTTGGTGCGCAGCAGTGGCGGTGACCGCGTCCTTGATCTTCGCCATGACCGACATCTTGTAATTGGTGATCGTTCGGTGCTTCTGCTCCACATTCACCAGCCAATCCTCCATCTGGCGAAGGCAAGGCGGAGAGAGGGCGCGATCAGACCACCGCTTTTGTGGAATAAGGAGGTCGCATGAGGACTGCCCGTACATGCGCAAAGGCCTCTGCCAGCTCCCAGACCTGCGCATACTCTTTCGCCTGCGCCTGGTGGTTGTTGGGCGCGACGTCAAACACGGTAGGCAGTGGTAAGTATAACACAACGGGAGCCGTACGAGGGTGGAGAGGTAGTAGGCCGCTTCGGAGAGCTTGGGCACGGGTATCTTGAACAGCTTCTCGAACTCGGCAAAGCTGGGGCATTGGGAGTACCAATTAATGAAACGTTCAGTTGCGGAAAAGGAGACAGTGCGCCGTACTCTTTGGGGAGAACCCGGCCACCTGCAAGAGCTGCGCCTTCCATTGTTCTGTTGTAGTCGCTGTTCCTTCGGGTTGTGTTGTTTGCCCAGCAGACTTGGCTTTTTACTTTGTTTTTTCAGCAGGGAAATGAAATCCAAGAAAAAGAACGGATTGCGTGAATGGGCATGTGTGCGTTGTTAGGGAACGAAAGCAAACAGAACAAAGGGGGGGGGGTGGAGCATGACGATCATCATGTCTGGATGTTCTGGAAGTAGGCGACGAGGCACAGGTTGTGGTGGAACAGGCTCTCCAACCGCGCCCACGACTGCCGCTGGGCTTCCCGCAGGCGCTTGAGGTCGTTCTGCAGATGCTCTTGCTCCACCATCACCTCACCGTGCGCCTGGTGAAGCAAGAAGTAAGGTCAATCAAGATACATTTATCATCAGCATCGGTTGTTGACGTTCACCATGAAAGTGATGTTGGTGAGTGAGTGGTGAGTGAGTGAGTGAGTGAACAATACCTTGAGAACGATGTTGATGTAGGCTTGGATGTGACCAAAGTCCTTGCCCGATTCGAGTTGGTGCACGAGGAAATCGACCACCAGTCGGAGATCGTTGGCGCCGTTCTCCAGGTTGATGGTCTTGAGCTCCACGTCGACGCCCGAGGCCGACTGGCCGCGGAGGTGGTCCA